GGCTCTGCCCGCGCGGGCGCTGTGCTGCGCGCGTGCGCCGGCAAGCCAGACGGGATCGGCCCCCTGCGACGGGACCTCCTCTCGAGCAGCACACCATTTGCACGCCCGAAATGGGTACTGAAAGAATGGGTACGATGCCCAACCGCAGTTCCTGTTCATGTTGAACAGGACTCGCTGTCCACGCCGCCGCGGCCTGTGTCCATTCGAGACAGGAGGCCGCCTGCCCGACAGCGGCCGCTGTTGCTTTGGGACAACATTTGTTGTTGGGCATGGTACCCATTCTTTCGGTACCCATGTCGGGTGTCCAAACACCAGCAGGCGTGTGTGACGGCGAGGCGGGTCTGACATGCGGCTCTGCGTCCGTCTCGGGAGACGGGGAGAAGCATCTATCCCAGAAGCAATGTCGAGCACCCGGAAAAGTATCGAAAGAGTGTCGAAAGAGTGTGGAAACAGTGTCAAACGAGTGCCTCCCAGGGCCCGGCACGCGGAAACCCTCGAGTTTTGGGGGTACTTTTTCCTGGTGCTCGAATTCGTTCTGGGGATCAAGGCGAAAGTAGGTTGGAACAGCATAACGCTACTCCTCCCGACCCTCCTCCTCACCACCCCGGCCTTGCAGGGCAGGCGGTATACCCCCATAGCAAGAGCCCCGACGAGCAGAGCCGTTCCGCAAGCGCACCCCAGGGAGGAGCCGAACAGGGCAGGGCTGTTCAGTACATGCCCAGGGCCGCTCAGTGAGCGCAGATTGTCAGGGGCTGCGTGGTCTCTCCTACCTCGGGGATCTCCTCACCCGGGTCAACCCAGACCCGGGTCAGCCAGGGCTTGCAGAATCCAGCGAGATCCTGCAAGACCCTGCACCCAAACCCGGGTCAATGCGAAGGATCCTGCAAGATCCCGCAGGATCCTGCACCCAAACCCGGGTCCATGGGAGCCTGGCCCTGCAGGATCCTGCAAGATCTGGCGCTCTGGCTGACCCCCGTCTCAAAGCTCCCGACTACCTTGAATTCTCGCTTCCGGCCTCGTACACGTGTTAGGTCGGGCATGTTCCCCTACAGGGGGATTTTGGGCGACAGATAGAAAGTGTTCAAAGCATGTTCGAGCAAAGGAAAAAAATCTCAACAAAATCGTCCAAAGACTATTGTTTTACTATGTTTGACCTTTCCTCCTGTAGAAGGGCACGCCCGACTTAATACGACTTTCCTCCTGTAGAAGGACAGCAGCAGCGGCGTCCGCCGGCTCGCCAAGCTTGGCGGGGCGGCTCGGCTCCGCCTGCGGGGCCGATCGCAGCCCAACCCAGTAGAGGTTCGAGACTGCACAGAGCACCGCGAGAACGGAGACCTGGGAATGTGGCTGCATATGCTTGACCCAGAGAGGCTATGGAAAATGTGACGCCGCAGGGTTGTCTGGAAACCTGCGTCCAACATTCGTGAGAATCTCTCAGCCCCAGCTGCAAACCGAGCCCGCTCTATTATCGTCCTCATCCTCATGCTCGCCGTCCTCGTCATCGCCCTCCCACGGCGCCGTGGCAACCCGAGCATCGCCCGCCGAAATCCCGGCCCGTGCTCCTCTCCAACGACCGCCCCTCCCAGGACACATCTTGTTCAGGTGGTCGCGAAGCTTCGACGAGCCCCACGGGTCCACCTCCGCAAGGCGAGGTGAACAGGAGGAAGCGGGGAGTAGAAGTGACTACCTACCAGACCACCCCAACCCAACCCGAAGACCCGAATTTCGGGTTGGGGGGGGGTAAGGGTTCCACATGTGTTGTTTCGATGTTTCCCGACCCCCCCCAACTGGAAATCGAGGGTAAATCTGAGCCTTCGGGTTGGGTTGGGGTGGTTTGGTGGGTGGTGAAGAAGGAAACAGACGACGACGAGGACGATAACGAGGATGGGGGGAGAGGGAGGAAGGGACGGAGGGTGGGAGAAGCGAGGGACTTGGATCCGCCGATCCCCCCTGTGGAGGAGGTCACCGTGCTGCTCGGATGTTACCCAGCCGCGCACCACCAGAATTAGCCAGTCCGCAACTCAAGACGTAGAAGCATGAATGTGCCGAGACAACTTTGGACACTCACAGCTTGGAAGCCTCGGCATCTGGCGTCCTCAGTTGCGTTGAGTGTGCGCGACCACCTTCGCAAAGCCGAACAGATGCTCGAGCGCCCCCGGTCCGTGCACCTCGGCCTCCCAGGGAAAGGCGGCAAGTGTCTCGAACACCCGCGGACCGTGCTTCCTCGACCTCTGGCAACGAGCACTCGAAACATTAGGTCGGGCATGTCCTCCTGCAGGCGGAGTTTGGAAGGAAACAACAGATCAACAGATAATCAAAGATGGTCTCGAGAGCACGAGCAATCGTCGCCAGATAATGTTTTAACCATTCTGGAATACTCCTCCTGTTTAGGGACATGCTCGACTCAATCATAGCATCGGAGGTCGAGGGTTCTATCGAAGTAAAGCATGGCATCCCCAAACAAGGAAACCGATTCCAAATTGGAGGCCAGCTTGGAGGCCATCCTGCGCCATCTCGGGGAGTCGTGACCCCTCCCTCGGACCCTCGTCAGCATCCTGGCTCCCTTGAAGGCATCCCCTGGCCCTTCTTGGAGCAACCTGGAGCTGACGAGTGGAGAATACCAAAACGTATGCGCACCAATTTGCTGAGGGAAACCACAAGGTACCGATACCGCTGCTCCCCGAACCCCTCCAGGGATGCGCTCTGAGCAGAATCTCGAGGCGAATCCAGCGGTGGCGACAAGGGCCGCACAATGGAAAGGTATGGGTACCCTTTGTGAGCGTCTTCTTGTTCGGCGTTTCGACATTGGGCGGAAGTGGGGGGGTCTGGCTCCGAACCGAACCTCTGCTGAGTGCGACTGTTTGGAAGCGTGCGTCCCATGGGGGAGGCTACACCTGCTCGAAACCGGCGCCAAAGACGGCCAGGCTCTACTCTGTGAAGGGGGGAGCAGGGAAGGGGGGGGGGTGCAAAGGTCCGCGCCGATCGGCAAAAATGAAGGGCCCTGGGACACACAAATAAATACACACAAATAAAAATACTCCCCATATTTTCCTATATTTTCTGGGTTTCTGTCTTCCCCCCCACTTCCCATATTTTCCCATATTTTCTTGGGAATCGAGGATTAATTGTGTCTGTGTGTTTTTTCCCTCCTGAAACAAATGCATCAGACAACGATCAATTTGCCTTTTCCTCCTCAGATTGCTTCGGGAGATCTTCGCCTCTCGAGTTATGTTGCTCCCATCGTACTTGAGGACCACACCCCAAAGATTCGGCGGCCCAACGGGCCAGAGGCGTGCTAAGATCTCCGGTAACTGGTTAACAGTGTTTCTAGTTCGCGCGCGCGGGGCGGCCCCTGGGGGTCCCCCGGCGAAAAGTATCCCGACCGCAGCCCGACCAGGTCTACTCAGAGATGGTTTTGAGGGCATTTCTTCGACACCAGGATCGTGGCCTCCGAGGAGGGTGCACTCGACTACCCCGCCCCAAGAGGCCCCGAAGAGCCCCCCAAGAGGCCCAAGGGGGCCCCAAGACGCCGCCAAGGAGCCCCAAGAGACCCCCAAGAGGCCCCCAAGAGGCCCCTAGGATGCCCCAAAGAGGCCCCCAAAAGGCTTCAAGGAGGCCCAACAGAGCGCTCGAGGGCCGGCGGAATGAGCGAAGCGATGAAATAATTTCGAGCACCCGGAAAAGTGTCGAAAGAGTGTCGAAACAGTGTCGAAACAGTGTCGCACGAGTGCCTCCCAGGGCCCGACGCGTGAGAACCCTCGATGCTTCGGTATTTTTCTTGGGGGGCTCGAAACTCTTTCTGGTGCTCAGGGCCAAAAACAGACTGGGACATCATGCACTCTTGAGGGGCCTGCGCAGACTCGTCTCGGAGCCATCTCTTACCAGCCCGGAACATATCCCTATCCCTATCCCTATGCTGGGCACCTCCTCATCACGATGCCAGTCTTAGGGAGTCCCTTCGTTTTTCAGGGCGCATCCCTGAGATCGTCATCGCCTCTTGGCGTGTCAATCTTAGGGATAGGGATACGTTCGAGGCTGGTGAGAAGTGGACCTCCCAGGAACCGCATCCGAAAGTACCTGCTGCCCTGCCGCACCTTTTGGGGGGGCAGCTCTCCGCCCCGCCGCGCCCGCTTTTGGAATCGAGCTCCACTCGGAGGGCCGAGGTAGTGAGGGGGAGGAGGAGGAGGAGGAGGAGGAGGAGGAGGAGGAGGAGGAGGAGGAGGAGGAGGAGGAGGAGGAGGAGCAGGAGGAGCAGGAGGAGGAGGAGGAGGAGGAGGAGGAGGAGGCGGAGGAAGGAGGAGGAGGAGGAGGAGAGGCGGAGGAGGAGGAGGAGGAGAAGGAGGAGGAGGAGGCGGGGGAAGGGGAGGAGGAGGAGGAGGAGGAGGAGGAGGAGGAGGAGGAGGAGGAGGAGGAGGAGGAGGAGGAGGAGGAGGAGGAGGAGGAGGAGGAGGAGGGAGGTGGGTGATGGAGGTGGTGGAGGAGGAGGAGGAGGCTGGTGAATCTCGGGGCCACCCCGGCGCAGCCTCGGGGGACTGCTCGGTCGGCCCCTCGTGGGCGCCCCACGAAAAGCCCCCTGCGGAGGCCACGCGCGCTGGCCCCTCGGCGCCCTGTGTCTTGTGAGGCTGCTGGAGGCCTCTCGGGCAGGACCGGCGCAGACTGGGCCGGGAACGCGGAGGAGGAGGAGGAGGAGGAGGAGGAGGAGGAGGAGGAGGAGGAGGAGGAGGAGGAGGAGGAGGAGGAGGAGGAGGAGGAGGAGGGGGAGGAGGAGGGGGAGGAGGAGGAGGAGGAGGAGGAGGAGGAGGAGGAGGAGGAGGAGGAGGAGGAGGACGAGGAGGAGGCGCTTCTCTGGGGATTCTTATCCCCAGAGGTCCCCGAGGCTCCGCCAGGAGACCACCAGAAGGCCCCCAAGAGGCTCTCAAGACGCCTCCAAGACGCCCCCCCCCCTTGAGGGCCCAAGAGACTGGGCGGAGGCCCCCTCACACTCCCCCCCGTTCATCGATCCGCTCAACTGGGCGATTGCACTGTGCATCGCTTTCCGTCACCCGCCAACCTTGGCCGAAAACGGTAGGGTAGGATGTTTCCTCCGGCATCGAACTACGACACATGCAGGTCGTCCAATCCAATCTCCCACGCGACTCTCCTCCAGAGTAAATGTCACCATGGGGGCCGACAATGGTCCGGCTCCGCCAAGCTGGAGCCCGAACCGTGGACACATATGATAGACTGGGGTGGCAGCGGGCCGCAGCGGATCCCTGGCTGGGCCAGCCACCTTTTTGTCAGGCTGTGCAGAATTATGCAGCACCAAAACCATCTTCATCCTCCTCATCGTCATCCCCCACCACCACATCCATCCATCACACCACCAATCACAACAACCTCCACAACCATGACCATCACCACCTCCATCATCTTCCTCCTCCTCCTCCTCCTCCTCTTCCTCCTCCTCCTCCTCTTCGTCGTCGTCGACGTCGTCCTCGTCTTCCTACTCCTCCTCTTCCTCCTCCCGCTCCTCCTCCTCCTCATCATCATCAGCAGCATTGCCATCATCATCAACAACAAACTCACCATCAAAATCACCATCACTCATCATCAACATCCTCAGCATCACCATCATCATTATCCGTTTCATCATCATATTCATCATCATAATCAGTACCAGCATCATCATCATCATCATCATCATCATCATCATCATCAGCATCAGCGTCATCATCATCCGCACGATCAACATCAAATGGTATCATCATCAACATCATCAGCGTCAGCGTCATTACAAGCAGCAGCAACATCAGCATCACCACCACCACCACCATCACCATCATCATCATCATGACCATCATCATCCTCATAATCATCATCATGAGCATTAGCATGATCAGCAGCATCATCATCATCATCATCACCATCACCATCACCATCATCAGCAGCATCATGCTCATCCTCATCGTCATCATCGTCATCATCATCAGCATCAGCATCGTCATCATCGTCATCATCATCGTCGTCGTCATCATCATCATCATCATCATCATCATCATCATCATCATCAACGTCATCATTGTCGGTCACTCCTGGGAAGAAGCGGGGGAGGGAGAGGGGGTGAGCGTGGGGAGAGAGAGCGAGAGAGAGAGAGAGAGAGCAAAAAAAATAGAAGAAAGAGCATCACAGAAGAACAGCAGACAATTTATCTCCGGGCATGAAGCCTGCCCCTATCTGCTGGGCGCGGCGCGCCGCAAAATACCTACTGGATGTCCGGGCAAAGGCCGCGAAAATGACATGCACGTTCCGTGCTGGGGGCCCGTGTCGTACCGACCCAAGCGTTTACCAGCCTCGAACGTGTCCCTATCCCTAAGATTGACACGCCAAAAGGCGATGACAATCTTAGGGATTCGCCCTCAAAAAACAAGGGAATCCCTAAGATTGGCATCGTGATGAGGAGGTGCCCAGCCTAGGGATAGGGATATTTTCCAGGCTGGTAAAGCATTGGTTCCTGACACCGCGGGGCTCGTTCAACCTTGAACGATCGGCCGCTTCCGAAAAGGCGCATCGTTCAAAACCGTTGAGTTCGGGGTTGCCAGCGGCGTTCATCGTTGAATGCTAGCGACCGGGTCGCCGCCAGTCGACACGACACGAACCTACCGTAAGCGGTTTGATTCCATTACTAAGTCAGCCGTGGCCCGCCGATCTGAAAGGGTTAAAGACCGAGAGTGCAACCCAGGCAAGTCCATTGGACGTGAGGGTGTCCGCCACCGTGCCGCATGAACTGGGTGGAGCGTTATCAGGCCTCCATGAGGATTCAAATCTCGATGGTGAATGATTGTTGCCAACGGGGACACCAAGCAGTGAATGATTGCACCCAAGCAATCTCTACGGTGTACTATACGTGGTGCAATCCACACTGCAGAACGTGAAATCGTCAACTCCAATGCTCGCGCACCCATCCCGCCCTTCCACCCGCAACTTGTTTTGCGCAACCATCATGCGGCCGCGATGACGTTGACTACTCAGCACTGGCTGGTGCAATTCTGTGGCTGCGATAGAAGCACGCAAGCTCACGCGCAGAGCGGTCAACTGGTTTGGCGCAACCGACGCGGCCGCGATGACGCGTACTGGTGGGAACTCCCCAACGCACCTCAAAATCGCGCTGGCGTGCGGCAGCGCCAGTGCAGGTCGGCGACCCAAGCGGGCGCTGTCTCATGAGGACGCTGACAACGGCGGCGGCAACGATAATGATGATAGCGACGGTGGTGGCGATGATCATGATGACGACGGCAAGGCCAATGAGGGCGCCGATGCCTGCACCGACGATGACGATGATGATGTCAACGCGTCGGTGACAGAAGTTATTAACAAAAGATGGCGGCAATGGTGATGATTGAAGATGACGATGACGGCGTGATGCGGCGGTGTTGATGAGGGAGACGGTGAGGAAGTGCGCGCGCAGAAATTTCAGAAACTTGGGAACCTCCCCGTTGAAAATAAACATGTGGTCTACTTCCCTTGTTGTTGCAGAGCTCTGCCTTGAAACGCGTCGAAGAACAAGCGGTTCTGGAAGGGTTTCGACACGCGCGCGTGGCGGCGCGCGCAGAGCGGCCAGCATGGCGCTTTCCGGTACGGGCCCGTGCAGTGGGCGCAGCGTGGATCGACGCGGCCGCATCGCATGGCCGAGTGGAAAGAAGCGGACGGGATGGCCTCGAGGTGCGCGAACAGGCAGCAGCGGCCGCAAGGGCGCGCCCGCGCCGACACGGCCGAACGCTCCCTGGGGCACGGGCGTCAAACAGCGCCCGTCGGGCGGAGCCAGTTGCTTTTCCAGCAGGCGCGACGCCGAGCAGGGGGCTCGCCCGCGCGCCGCGCGCGCGACTCCCGACGTCCCGCGCGGCCCAGCGCGCGCCCCTGAAGAACACCCAGCGGCCGATGGCTTGAGCCGAAATGGCAACAGCCAAGGATGCGGTCGATGGCTTAAACATCAAGTCGGGCCGGATTTTGAGCGAAAAATTAGAAATACTCCAACAATGCTCCCAAAATGCTCAAAAATAGTCAGAAAATAGTCCCCCGACTATTTGTTGACTATTGTTGAATTTCCCTCCTGTAGAGGGACAGGCCCGACTTAACTCTAAAAAAGCAAGCGATGGGATGGAATACGGGCAAGCCGTGGCAGGCCTGCCGCACAAGGGAAAAAAGGATGAGGCTGAACGCTCGCAACGTCTTCGCTGCATGTGAAGATGTCACGGATTCGCGCGTATGGCATACGTATACTATCACAAGTCCGCCTTCCTGGAGCATCTGATGCGTCGGTTGTTTCGACTTGGTCCAGGAAGGCGCGCGACGACACCACAAGGATTCGCTGATACATCCACGCGGTGCGAAATCTCGCGCGGAGGTTTCGCCATGTTACGCGGCCCTGGCGTCGTCATGCTGGCTCGGGACATCTGTCCACATTGTGCAAACGCGACCGAAATTGAATGTTGCGCGGCGCCGGGCGATCTTTGCGCGGCAAAATTGTGTTTATATGTTGGTGATGTGTCGGATATCGGTTGGCAACTTGCTGGATATACTTTGGTTATGGTGTGGTTATATGATGATTAGTGTTTAGATACGTGTTGATTTAAGTAATGGTATTGTTGTGTTGGGGTCGATCGCATACTGCTTGCATGTTCCAGATATATACATTCTACGTTTATGTGCGATATGTTTGCGTTTATCTTCGCACGTTCCCGTATATCCGACACGTGCACTGCTGACGTGCACGCACCATGCGAGAAAAAACGTGTACTTCCGGGGTGATGCGACGAATACTCCCCGTCATCGCTGCTATTGCTCCTCGTCATCATCGTGTTCCCTCCTGTCCTCTGTGCTGCTGCTGCTGCTGACGATCCTCTTCCTCATCCCTCGTAGTCCTTGTCTACCGAGCGCCAACGGCTACGGCTACACATCGCTGGTTTTGAGATTTCGCGCGACGCGATGGCGTCGCGCAAGCCTCGCGCACAATTCCCGGATCGGCGCGCGGAATATTTCAAAAGGTGTACAAGCTCATGTCAGCGCCTGCACAAGCGAGTGTGGACGTTGCGCAATGTGTTGCGAGGGATTGCTGGGAAGTGATATGTTGCGATGAACGGGTGCGAGCGCATGGTAATATTTGACAGAGGTGGCGGGGGGGGCGCAATAACCGTCCTAGCTGGGATGGTAAGGAAGCATTAGGCAAATCAACGGTGAGGCAAGATCGTACGTAATTTGCGGGGGGGCGTTTCTACTCTTCTGTTAAAAAAGAGAATGGATGACTTGCAAACTACTCAACGCATTTGACCTGATGCAAGCAATGTAACGGACCCTATGTGGTGCAGGCTAAATGGCGCAATCTAGGTGGTGCACCCCACCTATGCTCGCAGTGAGCTGTCAACTCCACTGCTCGCGCAATCATCCCACTCACCCACCCGCAACTTAACTTGCAAAACCCAAGCGGTGGCGATTGCGATGAGTGCTTGGTGTTGGTTGGTGCATCTCTGCGGCCACGCTAGCCCGCGCATCTTCGCACGCGCAGCGACCTGCTAGTGCGGCGCGACCGACGCGGTCGCAGTGGCGTTGACCGCTGGGAACTTCCCAACAGGCACCCAGTGCGAGTCGGTGACGTGGGCGGGCGCGGTATCATGGCGACGCCGACAACGGTAGACACGATGATGGGAGTAGCGATGATGGTGACGATGGTACCGATGACGACGGCAAAGCCAATGACGGCGCCGATGTTGATCACGCCCGCCGATAACGATGACCATGTCCTCGCTGCGGTGATGAAAGTTTTGGAAATAGCTCGATACGCGCGCGTGGCCGACGCCCGCGAGTGGCCCGCGTGGTACTATTTGGCACGGACCGGGCCCCCGCAGCACGCGCGCAAGGGCGTTCGGATGAGTGCGGCATGCGGCACGAGAGGCCCGCATGGCAGAATGTGATGGCAATGTTGAGAAACAAAGGATGGTTGTCCCAAGAATTCGCAAGAGCGCGCGCGCAAGCTTGTTTGAAAACGGATGGTGCAAAACCAAGTGTTTTATACGTTGTAGGGACACTCGTTCTAGAAATCGTGACGGAACCGAAGGTTATTGAAAGATCTCGGCATGCGCGAGTGACGCCGCGCACACGAGAATTTCGTCCCACTCGTTGCAGAAAGATATTGCGGCAGCAAGCGCGCAAGGAAGTTCGAACGATCTCGACATGCGCGCGCGAGAGGCCCGTTTCGTAGTATGTTCTGAAAATGTTAGCGAAAACAATTGGTTTCTTAAGAATCTGCAAAAGCACGAACGCCGCTGTTTTGAAAAACCACGTTGCGGGACCATGTGCTTCTATGCAGTCGAGAAACTCGATTCTCAAATTAATGAACCGAGTGTTTTGTTTAGAAGATATCGGCATGCGCGCGCAACGACGCATGCGCGCACTTCGCCACATTGTTTGCTAAGGACTTCTGGCAACGGAGCTTCGTGGATTAACGAATGCGTGCGCATAGTACATGTTGCAAAAAGACGAGGGGGGAAACAGTTACCAGCCTGCCTGGGATGGTACGAGCTCAAAATTCGGACCGAAGATGGGGCAGACTCGTATCTGACTTGCCATACGAAAAGATGGCCCGTTAAGCCTGGGGGGCAAATGGTATATCCGAATACTCTCTTGGACTATACATATATTCTAAATATGGTAAATACTATAAATACTATATATAGTGTTTAACATATTTGGTAGTCTTAGACTACTAAACATGGTAAACACTCTATATATATATATATATATATATATATATATCCGCCGCCCCCCTTGTGGGGCCACCAGGCTGTAGGCGCGGGTTCGCAGTTTCCTGTGTCAGTTGTAGCTTGTAGTTTCCAGTGTTACAGTTCTGCTTCTTGCTGGTTACTGTAACTAGTTGATTGACCGCGCGAGGGGGGGGGAGGCCCAAACCAGATATTTAGCACCTCCTGGGCGCGTTGTCTGAATTGCTGGGGGGGCTCGAAATCGACACCCCTCACGCAGATCGGCGGGGTCAGGGTCCAAAAACACAGGGGATTTGCCACATTTCTGAAATTCGGTGCCACCCCTCACGCAGATCCGCGGGGTCAGGGTCCAAAAACACAGGGGATTTGCCACATTTCTGAAATTCGGTGCCACCCCTCACGCAGATCCGCGGGGTCAGGGTCCAAAAACACATGGGATTTGCCACATTTCTGAAATTCGGTGCCACCCCTCACGCAGATCCGCGGGGTCAGGGTCCAAAAACACAGGGGATTTGCCACATTTCTGAAATTCGGTGCCACCCCTCACGCAGATCCGCGGGGTCAGGGTCCAAAAACACATGGGATTTGCCACATTTCTGAAATTCGGTGCCACCCCTCACGCAGATCCGCGGGGTCAGGGTCCAAAAACACAGGGATTTGCCACATTTCTGAAATTCGGTGCCACCCCTCACGCAGATCCGCGGGGTCAGGGTCCAAAAACACATGGGATTTGCCACATTTCTGAAATTCGGTGCCACCCTTCACGCACATCCATCGCAAGGCGTGGTAACCCAAACTGCGAGAACTCCCTCGGCCCTTGAATCGCAAGGTGTGGTAACCAAGCCCGTAAACCATACACGTCTTACCAATCGCCAGGTGTGGTAACCCCTCTTGTGATCAGTTGGTTTTCCTGATTGCGAATCGGCTTCGCATGAAGTTTCGATACTGCTTCACGACAGCGCCAAGGCCTCATGACTTGGCTCTCCCATGGCCCATTCTCCGAGAGAGGGGGCCGGCGGCAGGGGGCGAAGCCCTTACGGATATATATATATATATATATATATATATGTATATATGTATATATAGAGAGAGAGAGCTATATAGCTATATAGCTATATATATATATATATATATAGGTGTGGTGCTAGCTGTGGCGCAATCGATCGAGTCCATGCTACGTAGTGCTCTGTCTGTGGTATGAGCTACGCGGCGCGGTAGACATCGGACCCCACGCAGGCGCCCACGGGCACCCACCAGGTGAAACCTCGGCGAACTCAGTCAGCGCACGGGGCGCCCACCAGGCGCCAGCGGGCGCCCACCAGGCGAAACGCCGAGTGGCCCAGCCAGCGCACGGGGCGGCCAAGCGAAACCTCGGCGGACCCACCCGGCACACGGGGCGCCCAAGAAATTAGGCGTCCACGAGCGCCCACCAGGCGAAACATTAACGACGCCAGCCAGCGCATGGGGCGCCACCCTATACATACACATATATATATATATAAACATACTTACATACATACATACATACATACATACATACATACGTACATACATACATACATACATACATACATACATACATACATACATGCATGCATGCATGCATGCATGCATGCATGCATGCATGCATGCATGCATGCATCCATCCATACATACATACATACATACATACATACATACATACATACATATATATATATATAAACTTTGGTCTTTTTATCTTAACAAAAGAAGTAGGAGGCAATGGCTTTTCCAAGACGGTTCCACATAATTCCAAGACAGCCCAACTGAACCCGAAGAGCTCCCAAAGACAGCCCAGAAAGGACTCCCACAATGGCCTCCGAAGGCCAAGAGGCCCCTGAGAGGTGTCTTCATTTAGTGGCCCCAAGAGGCCCCTCATAGGAAGCCCCAGGAGCCATCAAGAGGGCCCCAGGAGGTCCCCAACCAACAGACCTCCTCCTGCTCCTCCTGCTCTTCCTGCTCCTCCTCCTCCTCCTCCTCCTCCTCCTCCTCCTCCTCCCTCTTCCTCCCCAAATGGATCCCCCACGGGTTTTCACAACGGCTGGGGGAGCACATAGTCCAATAGCTTGGCCAAGCTTTGGCCCATCGTTTGGCCACCTCGGCATTTCCAGAAAGGCCAAGGGCGGCGGTGACTCCCCAGGCGTCTTCAATTCGTGTGTACTACATGTGTGTATATATGCACATATTGGAGGATCCGCCCACAAGGAGGAGCGACAGCATCAACATCGGCAGAAAAAGGAAAAACATTCAGAACGCATCATGAAACAATCGTCACGGGCAAGCACGCCGAAGGCGAACTGGCCGCAAGTTTCCTACGCGTCTGTACCTATGCAGCTCCTCTGCATCCTCTGCAGTCTCTCCAGGTGTGCGACTGACGCCCTGCTCATGCTGTCGAGCCACTCGAACCTCTCCCTCTCGTCCTCCGCGCTGGCCGCCCCAGGCGGGCTAGGCCGCTGCGCCCTTGCGAGTGCCAACTGCAGCGAGCAGAGCGCCACGTGCACCTCCTGCATGTCCAGGCCGCTTCCCGCCTCGCCGCCCCGCGAGCCTCGGGGCGGCGGCGGCGACGCGGAGCCCCGGGCGTCCGCGCCGCACGAGCCCGGCAACATGCCGCACAGCTGCTCCGCCGACGGCCTCGGCCCCGCCATCTTCGACCTGGCTGCGGCCATGCTGCGCTCCGTCGCGAGGGCCGGCTCCGACACGCACTTGTCGATCGACGAGGGCCGCCGTGTCAGGCTGCTCCGGCGCCTGGTGGGCACGTTGAGGCTCACCTTGAGGTTCTCCATCTCGGTCACCAGGTCGTTCTTCAGCTCCCGGAGGTCCTTCAGGGACGCCGAGTTGGAGCCGCGGAGGTCGAGGACGATCTTCATGAAGCTGGAGAAGTCGATCTCCTTCGGCGGCTTCGACGTCCCATCCTCTTCGTCGACGTCGGCCTCGGCCTCATCCTCCTCCTCCTCCTCCTCGAAGATGCTCGGCGCCATGTCGATGAGAGCTATGGGGTCGACGCCGACCTCGTCCAGGAGCAGGACGGCCGTGGGCTCGCTCACGAGCTGCACGAACTCCTTCTCGGAGAGCGTGCCGTTGTTGTTCGTGTCCAGCCGGCCCATCACGTCGGCGAGCTTCGTCTTGAGGGCGTGCACGTCCATGTCTTCCTTCTCCGTCGCGGCCACAGCACTCACGACCTCGCAGAGCACCCCGATCCGCCGGTCCCCCCTGGGGTGGCCAACAGGCTGTGAGGCGGAGGTGCTCCTGTTCCCTGAACCAGCTCCAGCTCCCGATTCCCCAAACAACGCTTACACTTAAAAAATTCCACTTCTCTTCTAACGAATTGGGCAGTGTGGCCGGTCTGGCCGCTATGTCGTCGCCGTCGCCGCCCCGTCGCCGCCTCGTCGCTGCCCGTCGTTTGGGCCGTGTGGCCAGTCTAGGGGATATGTCGTCGCCTTCGCGCCCCGTCGACACCTCGTCGCTGCCCGTCGTGTGGGCCGTCTGGTCGGTCTGGCGACCATGTCGCCGGCGTCGCCGTCCTGTCGCCGCCCCGTCGCCGCCTCGTTTCCGCCCGTCGCTGCCGTTGGATTGTTCCACGTAGATTGCACGGGAAAACCGCGCCTGCGGCGTGTGATCGCGTACAACATAAATTCTTTCTGTCGGAAAAAATCGGGATCCACCACCACCCCAAATCCGGACTTATTTATCACTACCCCCTGGGGATGTGCAGTTTACATGAGACTCTGCCCCATCGTCCATCCTAACTGGGACCTCGGACCACCCCAAGCAGGCCGGAGTTCGCACCCCCCTCTCATCTTCTGGAAACAGTTTCTACGCGCGCAATCGTTGATCAAGAATCATCAGTTTTCGGGCGCGCGTTCTAAACATTTTCATCACAAAATCGTAAGGAATTCAACATCGAGTGTCCCGAACACAAAAAAACATGGTGTCGCAACATAGGTTCTCAAACAAGCAAACGCTCGCGATCTTGCAGATTATTGCGAAAGCCTTGTTTTCCCATGAATTGATACCAAAGTGGCCCATCGCGCGTTCATGTCTAAATCGTTCGAACGCCCTTGCGCGCGTGTTGTTGCAAGAATCCCACGCAGCAGACGCGACGATGTGCACGCGCGCGCGTCGTCGCGCGCGCATGCCGCAATCATTCAAAACCTTAGGCTTCGCAAGGATGTCAGAAACGGGTGTTCCGATAGCAAATATAAAGCAAACGGGTTGTGCAACATCCGCTTTCCAATAAAATGCCTGCGCACGAGCTCTTGCGAACCCTTTAGAGCCCCACTGTCTTTTCAACATTGCCATCAAATTCTGCCAGGTTGGCTTCTCGTGCCGCATGTCGAACTCATCTTAACGCCCTTGCGCGCGTGCTGGGGGGCATGATCCGTGTCAGGTAATACCTCGCCGGCCAATCGCGCGCGTCGGCCGCGCGCGCAAGTCGAACTCCTCCCGAAACCTTCATCACCGACGCGAAGACAACGTCGTTTTATCAGCGGGCGTGATCAACATCGGCGCCCTCATTGCCCTTGCCGTCGTCATCGCCACCATCGCCATCATCATCGCTACTCTCATCATCGTGTCTACCTTTGTTGGCGTCGCCATGGTACCGCGCCCGCCCACGTCACCGATTCGCACTGAAGTGCCCACCGGTCAGAGCCACCGCGGTCGCGTCGGTCGCGCCGCATTAGCTGGCCGCTGCGCGCGCAAGCACGCGCGGGCCAGCGCGGCCGCAGAGATGCACAAGCCAACGCCAAGCACTCATCACAATCGCCGTAGAATTCGTTTTGCAAAACAAGTTGCGGGTGGGCGGGTGGAACGTTTGCGGGGGCACTTGGGCTGACAACTCCAAGTTGCAAACATAGATTGGAGTACATTAGTGGCACCACATAGGTTGCACAACATAAATGGCACAACCTGAACTGCGCCACATAAACAGCATCGCAGAAATAGCACCACGTATATAGCACAACGTAGATTACACGACATGTGCTGCACAAGATAGATTGCAACACGCAGATTGCACCGCATAAATTTCGCCACGTTCAGTGTACCGCGCGGGTTGTCCCGCTTAGCTTGCATCACACATATTCTCTGTTCTACAACGGCAAAAGGATCGACCTCCCCCCCAACGGACGTATCGCCCCCCTGGGGATGTGCAATTTATATATGATCTTGCACCGTCGCCCATCCGACCTATGTTTTCATAGCGTCCCAATTAGACCGGGTTCCCCCTATCATCCTCTGCACAATACCCTAAGCACACACAGGATCATGAATGTCCACTAACCCTTAACAAAAAACAGGGACGAAGTGCACACGCGCGCGTCGTCGTGAGCGCATGCCGACATCCTTCAAAGACACAAGTTCGCGCAACAATTGCAGAATCGAGCGCCATGAAAACATGAGAAAAAAAACACCTGGCTGGGCAACTAGGATTATCGAGCAATACATGCGCCCGCGATATTGCAGAGTCTTTTCCTGAAAAACAATAAGTATTCAACATGGTTACAAGCATGCTACCAAACGGGCCTCTCGCGCGCGCATATCAAAATCGTTCGAACGCCCTGGCGCGCGTGATGTAAAAAATGCCCCGGAAACATGTGCAACTATATGTGTATATAGATAAATGAATACAGAATCAAAGTCTTTTTAGGAGGCGATGGGCTATTAGACCATTGCACGAATACCGCGATGGAGCTATGGGGTTATAAGGCTATGGGGCTGTAGGGCTATAGGGTCGTAGGGCTGTAGGTATACAGGGCTGTAGGGGCTATAGGGCTATGGGGCTATAGGGCGATGGGGATATGGGGCTATAGGGTTATAGGGCCACAGGGCTATGAGCTTACAGGCTATGGGACTGTAGGGCTATAGGGCTAAAGGGCTATAAGGATATAGGGCTATAGGGCTACAGGGCTATAGGGCTATAGGGCTATAGGGCTATAGGGTTGTAGGGATATAGGGTTATAGGGATATAGAGCTACAGGGCTATAGAGCTATAGGGCTCTAGGGCTCCAGGGCGATAAGGCTATAGAGTTATAAGAATGTTGGGCGGATGGGCTATAGGGCAACTGGGCTATGGGGCTATAGAGCTGTAAGGTTATACAGTTACAGGGCTGTAGGGCTACAGGGCACCTGGGCACCGGGGCACCTGGGCGGGCCGCGGAAATCGGCGGCAAACCTTACCTAACTGTATGACCACTAGGGCACCTACAGAGGCAAGCTATGATTGAGGGATGTATGAGTTTGCAACCACTGGTTTCAAAAACCTGCGCGCGTGTGCGGACCCTCAAGAAAAGCATTGGTTTCTTCAACGCTGTCATCAAACTCTGCCAACAATAAGCCTCTCGCGCCGCACGCCGAACTCATCCGAACGCCCTTGCGCGCGTGCTGGGGGGGCACGATCCGTCTCAAATGAAACAATGCGGGCCAACCGCGCGCTCGAACTCCTTCCAAAACCTTCGTCATCGACGCGAAGACATCGTCATCGCTATCGGCGGGCGTGATCAACATCGGCGCCGTCATTGGCCTTGCCGTCGTGATCGCCACCATCGCCACCATCATCGCTACTCTCATCATCGTGTCTACCGTTGTTGGCGGCGCCATGACACCGCGCCCGTCAGCGTCACCGACTCGCACGGAAGTGCCCGCTGGGAAACGCACAGCGGTCAGCGCCAACGCGGCCGCGTCGGTCGCGCCGAACTAGCTGGCCGCTGCGCGCGCGAGCATGCGCACGACAGCGCTGCCGCAAACATGCATCAGCCAACGCGAAGCACCCATCGCAATCGCTGCCGCCCGGATTTTACAAACCAAGTCGCGGCTTGGTGCGTGGGTTGTACACGAGCCTTGTTTTGTCAACTCTTTTGTCAAAACCGATTGCGCACTCTAGATTGCACAACATAGTGCACCACGTAGATTGCACAATAGATTGCACCACTATGATTTCCCCACATCGATAGCACCACGTATATTCATAGAAACACAATGTTTGAGGTCCGCGCTGATAATGGTACAACTATATCACTTCTACGTTCTAGCTTCAGTGTTGTGATGATCGAAATCCGCGCGAGGACCCCAGCCCGAAAAGCATCCAATTACCACGCCAGAATCACATTGCCTGAATTGATGGGGGCCTTGGGACGCGTACAAAGACGGCAGGTTCGCGCTCCCGATGCAACAATCCCTCGCGAATCCCACCAAACTCTTGGGCCGTGGTGGTTTCGAGCGGTCCCTCCTCCATCTTCCCCCCTCTTCCCCTGCGGGGAGGGGTTCATCACTGCTCCCCCCTCCCGCACCTTACCAGGGCAAGCCCGGAACCATGACGACACCCACCACCCTCCCCGTCAAAAAACAATTCCAGGGGCCCTGGGACACACAAATAAATACAAACAAATCCCAGGATTCCCCATATGTTTCAATGTTTTCTGGATTTGCGAATTCCCCCCATTGTCCATAGTTTCCCATATTTTCCTGGGAGCCGAAGATGACTTGTGTCTGTGTTTCCCCCTCCTAAACAATGCAGCATGCACTCTGCGGCAAGACCTGGATTCCATGCGCGGGCACCGACCGATCACGCTGCACTGCTCGAGAGAGAGAGAGAGACGAGGGGAGGGCGACATGATGCCTGCGCGGGCGCCCCGCGATCAGTTGGCACGGCTACTTGATCGGGATGGTAGGAGTGCCCAGGGCTGAACCTAACCGGTGTTTTTCGTTTTCGCTTTGTTTTCGTTTTCCCTCTCTCTGTCCTCCATGCGCCTTTCACGCAAAACGAGATCGAAACGAAAACGGCCCACGAAATCGCCAAAACACCGTCCAGGTCCACCCCTGGGACTGCCCCTGCACGGCGCACGTCGCTGGCCCCCGGGGGCGAACCCAGAACCATGCCAACCCACCCGCACCAACCCCGGCGAGGAAACAGTACCAAGCGCACGTCGCGGCAGAATCTGGAAGGCGTGCAGGCACCGAGCGATCACGTTGCAGTCTTTTTTCTGACAGGGACGAACGGGGGGGGGCAACATGTTGCCTGCTGCGCGCAGGTCCAATCATCCATGTCAGGAAAGAATACTTTCACACCAGAGAAAAGCCCCAATCAAAGGATGGTTTTCGCTGAGGAGATCGACCAAATACCTGGGAGCCCGGGAACCCAGAACCCACCGAAATCGGCCCGGAACCAATAACCAAGAAACCCGGGAGCCTGGGAACCGGGAACCCGGGAACCC